CTGGCACTTCCGTCGACGGAAGGACGAAATTGGTCCCAAAAATTGAAGTTTAGGGATTTTTTTAGTACTTTTTTTAGTTCGAGGGTATTTTTAGTCCAAAAATGAAAGTTCAAGGACTGAATCGAGGATATAACCAAAATTCTAAGCTTGGATGTTCAAGGGAATGTCTCAAAACAGACAACTAATATTGTTTTTAAAGAAGTATTTCACATATTGCATTAGGTAAATTACTCGTAATCATTTTTTTTTCGTTGCTTTTGATTCAATTTTTTTGAAACTTAGTTATCTTTGCATTTTCTGTCTTAGTTGGAATGTTGGATGATGACCTAGGTGATTTTGTTGGCACGGTAGTTTGTGAGGTTTCTTTCTCTCTCTAATGCTCTCTCTTTAAGCCTATTCAGGTATTTCTCAACTTATTGCTAATATAAAATAGTCTAGACTTTTATAGAATTCCCTATAATGCGGTGCTCAACTAATAGACAGAAATTGTATTATTAAATGATATGAGTTCTCCGGAAGTCTCTCTTTTCTCCCCTTATTTCTCCTTTTGCTGAATATTAGTTGGACAAATTTTGCTTCGATATGCAATCTGGATAATGGAAATATTTCATGTGCAGTTCGCCTTCATGAATCTGAGTAGTGTTAATTAATGTTCCTTTCTCGATATACTGTTGAGTGCAGCTAACAAATTTATGGGACGATGAGTTTCACAATGTTGTCCAGATGAATTATGCAACCAGCGCTCCTCCTGATAGCCATGAGGATGCAAATGGTATACTCCTCATTTCTCTCCTATTAATCCTTATGTCATAAGCCAAGCGTTCTTAATCTGACTGAAAATCCACCACTGCATATGCAGCGTCTCTGCCAGGTCATATGAAAGTAGAACTTTGATCCCTTAATGAAGCAGCTTATAATTGATGGCCGTATAGCATTACTATAGTAAACATGTAGCTGGGGTCACAGTAGTTCCACTTCTAAATATCAATGGTTTATTGAAAGTGTCATTGGCTTAGATTTTATAGCGAGGAGCAGATACTCACTTGGAAGCTTGACGTTCCTTGGGCGTATGGTAGGGCAGCAAACTTTGTTTTCTTTTGTTATGGCGTTGAATATATACACAGAAATGGAACTCTTTGATCATGGGAATTTAGTTACCCTCCTAGCATAAAAGATGGGAGATACTATGGTGTAAGATCATCGCATACAGGTTGCAAATGGAATTATTGATTTTTTGTTTGCAAAAGGCTTTATAGATACTAAATCTTTAATTTTGACTTTGCCCCTTATTAGTTTTTATTTCAAACTTTTTTTCCTATGACGTTTCATGCTTTAGTTTGGCATAGCAAGTGCAGTAGAGATTGTAATTTTTCTTATCATTCAGTTTCCATTGGCATTATCTCCCCTGGTGCCTGAAAATGTGAACTTTTCAGAAACCTAATAAGTTTTCCAGCATGCATGATGGGTTTAAATATTTCATTTAAAAGGAATTTTTGAAGTAGATTATTTGGAGATTGGCTTGGATATCACACATTACTAGACTATAATTGTGTTACCCTGTTGTTAGCCTGCTCATGCATTTGTAGCTATGTTACATAAACTCTGGAATTAGGACCAAGTGTCTGATATTGATTTCCTTAAATAATGTAGCCTTGAATCCTTTTTAATTTTGTGTAATAGGTCACCTCTATTTTTATTAGAAGAACTTGTTACATTGTTTTCTAAGCACCTGGTTATCAAAACATATATTTCTTTGGGTTGCTAGCCATATCAGTTAAGCATTACAATATTTACTGAGCAGTAAGATTTTATGCTGCAAAGATTGTATTTTCTGAAGTGGACCTCTTTAGATGTTTATTATTTTATGGAGTTCTCATTAGCTTATGTTTTTATGTAACTTAAGAGTGTGGTTCACCTTTGTCAATAGAGATCACAATGATGCTAATCTGACATTAGTTTTATTACATGTGACCTTTTAGGTTTTGTTATGCTTTTTTTTTACATAATTTGTACACTTATAGGTAAATTCCCTTTGAATGGGGATGTCTCTTTTAAATGGTCTTGCTGTACTTCAACTGTACTGTTGACAGCATCAAATTTAGATGTTTTTGTGCTTGTGAACATATACATAATGCTATTTCTGTCACAGTTATGCTCTTTCTCTGTCTTCACTGTGATAGTTTGAAAATGCTATCTAAAATGCACATGATGTTTTTTTCTTTGAGCAGGAAGAGGGAGTAGATATAATTGCAAATTTACTTCATCCAGGATTAGTTGTCACCAATATTGCCCATCATTATTTGGGCATCTTTAATGGAAATTATTTAAGTGTTCGATGTTATGATTAGGATTTCTCCAGTGTGGCACATCATTTTTTCTTTCCTGATCTAAGGAAGCAATATGGATACTGTTACCTTGTACATAAAGCATGCAAATCACTTTACTTCCTTTGTGTTGCTACAGGCCTTTTTCACAAGATTGGTAAATTGTATTGAAGAGTTAGGAACCCTCTTGAATTCTTCAAACCCTAGCATTCTGCAGCTCTCATGAACTCTCAACTTCCTTTCCTCTTTTACCATCTGGTGACAAAGAGGGAAATGGCAAGATGAACTTAGTTCTCCACTAAGTTGCAAGATAATCCATTTGAAGTGCGAACAACTCTTAGTGGAATGTAACTTTTCTCAAGTGTTCTTGGCAATTACATGCCAATAGACATGTATACACTTCTTTTACTGTTAAAAAGTTATCAAGCATATTTGAGGTAAATTTTAGTTTTATTTCATAATAGTTTTATAAACATATTTGAGGTACTTTTTGTACCTCTTTAATAAAAATTTTTTTACTAATAAAAAAAATATTACTAATCTTATATAACATTATATATGTATATTAATAATATTTTATTAATTATTTTTTATTAATATATTAGTTTATATTAAAATTTTAAATATATATTTTTTTTCATTTCACGCCCCGGATGATGCCCGGGGTATTAACTAGTTTATATATAAACAACACCCTTCTCAAATAATATATTAATGAAGATGGAGACAAAAGGACAATAACTACATTTTTTTAAAATTTTTTTGGTAAAGAACAATAACTACATTTGGTCGACCAACATCTACCATGTCATTAATGGTCAGAGCAGTGGTAGCTGCAATCGCTTTAGCACTCTCCTTTGGAAACTCACCCTCACATTTTGCCACGTAACCTTGACTTTCAAACCTCTTGCCGGAAACGGATAATAACCAGTAACTGGATAAACGACAAAAGGTGGAGAAATTGCAATTTAATTAATTTTATTTTCATCTTCCCTGTTCACTACCTGTGCTTTTGTTTCCCTGTTTCCTAAAAGTCTAGAGATAGTATTCTGTTAAGAAGCACCAAAAATTGAAGGAATTAAGAAGGGAAAATGGAACAGAAAATTAGAAGGAATGGTTGATTAAGAAGGGAAAATGGAACAGGATCTAATTGTTCTAAAAAATGGCCGATTCAATCATTTTGAAAACAAAAGGATGTTTTTCTTATTAGCCTTCCTTTCCCTTTCAAAATAATAAGACCCAGATTTTAAACAAAAAAAAGCATTAAATGCAAACAGGTAGGGTTTTGTGGTCCTTGAAAGGCATGGATATTTATGATTTTTTTCTGTTGTCATCCTCATTAATTATTTTTACATTCATTTTTACGGTGGATGATTAGTTATATCTTTTTGAAAAGAATTTTTAGAATTTTAAATAGGGTACCATTATGATTTTAAATTTAAATTGAATAAATTTATTAACAGTTTAAATATCAATCTTAATGAATTGAAGAGGGGATCTGCAAAAGTTTTGGCTATTGGTGAGAGAGGAAAGAGAGTACAGAAAGAAGAATGTAGAGTAGGGCATGGGGTCCGTTTAAAAATCGTTGCCGGTTCCCTGTGAATGAGTGAATCCCTCGTAAGTAAGGGTTACGTGGCTACATCAGAGCGTGAATTTCCAAAAGAGAGTGTTCGAGCAGTTGCTGCTAGCATTGCTCTTAATGGTCGTTAAAATTTGGTTAAAACCTTATTTTGGTCTTTAAATTATTATATGAACTTTTAATTTGATTCTTAAA